TAAGTTTGTCTTAAAAATATTGACTTGGTTTAGGGCTGGTGCTGCAAGCACGCAGGAAGATGTCCTTGTCAGCTTTGGAACACTTATAGCTGTGGAATAGCTGCTTTCCCAGGAGAGCACGCCTGTTCACCCAGTAAAGGATGCTCTCTCCAGTTTGCTCATTTCACAGCCATAAAGGGGCCAGTCTAAACTATTACAAACACAGCTTGTTTCAAACAGGGCTTATTTTTAGCTACAGTACAGTGAGCTGCTGATAGGTTTCGATCAGACCAAGGGACAGCCATGTGATCCCTGTGTCTTCACATCATGTACGCAGTTTCATTGTTCAGGCATGACGATCTGATCCAGTGATTTCCGAGTCAAACCCTGTATCTCCTACTTGACTAGAGCATTTTTTGATTTGGAGACATCAGGAGAGGGAAGCTTCACCACTTCCTTTGGTAGTTTGTTCCAGTGGTTAATCATCCTCGCTACTAAAAATGTGAGCCTCATTTCTCACATGAACTTGGTTGACTTTAGCTTCCCATCCCTGTCTTTTTGTGCTGGCCTCATCTACTATGTGCAGTGGAAAGCAGGGCAGATGACTGAAAGCATTCCAAGTTCAAATTCGAGTAATCCTGCAGCATTTTCTATGGGACTACAATGTATTTTCTCCATGGAAGTGATGGACAAGATACTCTGCCGCAGCTGGTGAGAAATAACCCTTTTGACTTGAAAGAATTGACCTCCACACTCTGCTCCCCCTCTGCCTCTAATTCTGTTGTTAATTCCTCTTCTGCAGTTAATTAAAAGGGAATCCCCCACTGGAGGAAGAAACAGAAATAGAACAGGCACTATGTAGCTAATCAAGCTGGGACTGTATTGTTAGGAGGAACCTCTCCTAAACCAGGCCCACAGCAAGAATAAGTTGGCTGACAGCTTGTAGGGATGCAATCCAGTTCTTATGTGTGAGAGCAAAAAGAAAATGCCTCGCTATGCGTTTAATTACAGTTGTTGATTAGAAATCCTTTGCAGTGCGCATTTCAGCTAAAACAACCTTGCAATTAATCATGCAGACAGAAGCCTGCTCCTGCTGTGACCAAAATCTGACATTGAATCTGCCTCTATTTCTGCATCCTTTCTTGAACTCTGATCTGAAAGAGAGAACTCCCCTATCTGGATACTTTTGCATGTGGTAATAAGGCTGAAGTTACAGGCATTTAACAGCAAGGAAATACCAACACCATTGCTGCTTGCTGATGGGCTTCATCTCCCCCTGACCTGTGCTCACTGGAGAATTAATGGGATGGTATTTGACGTGACAGCATTACACTCGTAAGGTCTCAGAATCCCAAATGTCAGGGTCAAAACTCATGTCAATCACTCCTCTGGTTTGTCTCTAACATATCCAGCTGACACGAGTGCCTGAACTGCCTGGAAGGGAGGGAATCATTGCAGCAGAGTACTTAATGAGTGTCCACCACAGGACAGGGTTTATTTCTGGCTGTGTGGCTCAGCGTGTCACATCAGCTCCTGCCTCCATGGACCACATCTGCACGATAGCCAACGTGACAGACCCTTGCTGTAGCTTCTCCCAGGGTGATCCGATTTAGGCTGACAGCTACAATGCACAGCAATAAATATGTGTTGTAATGATCCTGTCAGTCATGACCAGACTGGAGAAATGCCTCTACCTAAGTACGGAATGTGCAGACAAAGAATGGAAGCTGCATAAATGGATGAGATGACCTGCTGTGAAAAATGGTGGGTGCTAAATCCTGGCTCCAGTTAAGTGCTTTGGGATGGGGGTTTGGGGGGATCTTTGGTTTGGTTTGGTTGTTGGAGTTTTTTTGCATGTCCATGTGTACGTGTCTAGATACAGCAGCCTGGAGGATGTCAGGATTAACCTGCCCAAGTCATAACCTGGTGAGCTAGAAAACTGCCCCACTTATGGCTGGAGGAAGGCATTTCTCACAACAGTTTCAAGACTCATTTCAGTCAGATGCCTGTGTGGTCCCCATCACTGCCTGCCCCGAGCTCCTCCCTGTCGGAGATGTACAAAATGAACTTTGGCTCCACATTCCCATCTTCCCTCAGACAATGCCATGATTTCTCCCTTATCTTCTTTATTTCAACCCTTTCTGGCTCTTTTAACTCAGGTGGTAGAGGTGGTGGGAAAAGGGGTCCTTTTCACCCTCCAGGATAGCAGTGAAAGCTTTGCTGCTGTCACTGACTAGAATGACACATCCTGGGGAAGACAGTCCTGTGTCTGGTCACAGGTATGTGATGGCTTTGGTCATGGGGTCCCTCCTCTCTCTCTGCAGCTCCTCACCTGCATTCAGAGGGGTGTTTGCATGTCCCCTGTAATCCCTGTCTTGGTTGTCTTGCTACATGGCAGGAAGCAGGAGTTTCTGGATTCTTTTGGAGTGCAGAAAGCATCTGGAAAGGCCAACACATTGTATGTTGTCCTCTGAAATAGGCAGGGCATTACCAGCATCAAAGGGCTGGAAGTGTTAAAGGCCAGGTTGGATGGGGCTTTGAGCAACCTGGTCTAGTGGCAGGGGGGTTGGAACTGGATGATCTTAAGGTTCTTTCCAACCCAAACCATTCTATGAGTCTAAGATCTGAGGTGGCTTTTCCAAACATTAAGCTCCATTTTATCTCTTAGGCACTAGGATAGATGTGCAATGCAGGAGGCTGTAATTTAAATGTCAAGTGAAGCACAAAATGAGTATGTTCATGTCTGGCTGTGGAGTATCTGAAGCATTTCTCTTGTCGATTTAGGCCATGGGAAACAGGCAGGATCAGAGCAATAATGTCCCAAGACCTCCCATTTCCACACATGTCCCAGAGCACTTCCTGCTGAAGGCAGGCAGCCCTGAGCCCTGCCCGCTTGTGCCCACAGCAGATCACCCCACTGCATCAAAACCCAAAGTGTCTCAGACAGGGAGAGCGGGCTTTGGCCGCCTCTGGCTCCTTTCTGGTTTCCAGCTCTTTTACAGGGTAAATCAAGCCTTTGTCCTGCTCAGCATCATGAGGCCAGGCTTCCTGCAGACAGGGACAATGCCCTCTTGTTAAGTAGTAAGCCTGTGTGGAGGAGGCTGAGCCTCAAAACACCTTCCAGCACCAACCCCTGGGACCTGGTCTAAGTAATGCAAAAGTGAGTGTTGGTGGAGGGAAGGATACCTACCTGCTGCTCCCTCTGGAGCCCCCTCGTATCATCACTACCTCCCTCTTGCAGGTTTCTGTCTCAGCAGCAAGAGCAGCAGAAGCAGGCACATCGACCTCTCACCTGCTATGGGGGAATTATCTTAAAATAGAGCCACCTACACCACTCTGGGCTGCATGGCCAGCACAAAGAACACACATCATATCATCCCTCTGGGCTTAAAGCTGCAGCGTGGAAAGGGCAAAGAATGTCCCAAGTGTGAGCTGGTCAGGATGAGCCCTCTGGAAGTGACAGTCTAACCTGTGTCGATCAGGGTGAAAGCCAGCAGTGAAGTATCCTTCTTGTCCCATACTGTAGGTCTGTCCTAGGCAGGGAGGACTCATATCTCTAATCGAGTTCTGTGCAGTTCCAGGCCACCTAGAGGGTAGGGCTTGGGGAGGCAGTGGGAAAGGGGAGCAGATACTTCCCCTGCCTTTAAGAACGACATTGGGGTATTGCCAAGATGTGCACCTAGCTCTCCTGTGGTCTCCCTGCTGTGGGGAGGGAGTGCAGTTTCTCCCTTCTTTAAACACATCCATAGAAAATGCATAAGCAGGATTGTCACACTAACCTTGTGACAAGATGGTGCCACCATATGGGAAAAACATGCTGAGCCAGGCTGACCTCATCCTGCTGCTGCACTTACGTGGCTATAGCTTTCCCCTCCCTTGGCCATCCCACCACAAGAGAGCAGACAGAGAGAAACCCTGGCAAGCTGTGTCCTTTCCACATCCCTGGCTACCTTCCTGCCCTTCCTCTGGAGGTTTGTGTTCAGAGGCACCACACCATGTGTGTGCTCATTGATGGGACACCTGTATGGTCTGATAGCATTTTTGGCTAGCTAGCAGCATGTGATGCATGGAGGGTACCGCTGTGATCCATAGCTGTAAGTATAGAAAAGAAAGCCCCTGCCACCGTGGATTCATAGCTCATCACAGTGCCAAGGCCAGGCTAACAATATCCCAAATGTGTTCTATTCGTGGAAAAGCTTTAGTTGCTCTTCACGGGTAGTCAGTTCCTGGAGCTGTTAGGATAAAAAATGGAGCAGCAGCTTCAGCAGCCTGTTGTCTGTAGGCTCAGGTGGTGCAACGGGAACACCATGGCTGCACAGTTTCTCTAGGACTGATCTCCCTTGGTGGAACAGTTTCCAAAGGCAACACTGGTTTGCATTTCTCTAAGCCCCATGGCTTCAGGTGCCCAAGATCTTTGGACTGAATCAGTCCAAATCAGTCTGGACTGAATCAGTCCAAATAAGTATTTTTTCCCCTTCCTGGTAGATAAGAGATGTATTGTAAACAACCCAAAACTGGCAGTGACTCAGCCAGTGGAACACGCGTCAGAGGTCCCGATTCCCAAAGTAGCACCGCTAAGGTCTGGCTGGTGGCGTGTCCCAGCAGCCAGCTTTCCCGGGAAGCTGCTCCTCAAACCGCACTCCCACTGCAGCACCGCTTCCCAGAGTGCTGCCTATCGGGGGGATGCTGAGAGGTCCCAGGGGTGCAGGAAAGGAAGCGTGTGTGTGTGTACCACGGTCCTGGTGGTGGGAATGAGAGATGAGCATCAATCACAGAGGGTCACTTCACCACCCCCTCCTAAACTGGGTTTTCACTATCACTGCAAGAAATGCTGGACAGATGTTAACAAGTGACAGTTTTTTTTTCCCAGCTCAGCCATGTTCTCTTCCCACCCCTTTTTCCCTGTGAGTTGACTTCTGCCTACACAGAAGCTTCTAGACCAGCCTGAATGCCTTCTCCATTGTGTGCTGATGGGATGGTGAGGCTGTGCTGATGCACACTTTCTTCCCCTGGATTTCTAGGTTTTCCTGCACGTAGGCAGAGAGCAGCGTGATGCTGTATGACTGAAGTCCCTGCTCACAGTTCATGAATAATAAAGACTACCAAAGCTCACAGCCCAAAAGCCGTGTTCTGCAGGGGCTCCAGCACACATTCATGGAGCAAACCTCCGCAGTGGTGTGAAATGCGATGGCCTCATGGTCGTCTTCAGCCAGAGGTTTCACTCCACACCCTGGAGCTGGAGAAAAGGATGGTGCAGGATGGTCCAGCCTCTCCAGTGTGATGACCTCTGGCTCAGCTCGGACCCTTCTGTGGATAGTTTAACAAAGGAAAGCAAAGCAGAACCCACTGGGTGCGGGAAGGATGGAGCAAGCATCTGTTTATAGGGTTAGTGTTTTCCTTCTGCCCTGGAGGACTGGCTGTTACTTGCTTTATCAGGACTGTAGGCTGAGACTATCTGGTAGCCATAGGCTATAAGGTAGCCCTAGAGATCTTCACCATGAGCAGCCCATGTCAGAAGAGGCATTTCCCAGGAGGAACTTAGGAAGGGCTAGAGGAAGAGCCTATCTTTGAAATCCTTAAATTGAAATTAAATAAGAAACTCTTAATAAACCTGGAAATCCCCCTTTTAAATCTGATACAACAGCCTCTTCTGGGCCCCCAAGCCCTCAGGGAGGAAGTCATTGCAAAGTGAGATTAAATGCACTTAAAGTTGAGGGGCCAGGGAGGTGGGAACCCAAGGCCTGTCTGCACTTGTGTAAGCCAAAGCATCAACTGAAGGAGCTCATTTGAAGGTAGGCCCATACAGGGACACCCTCTTGTTCAAAGGAGACCATCCTTTCCCAGGAGCAGGAGCTAAATAAAAGTTGACTTTGTCATACCTACAAGGGCTTGCTGGAGGTGCAGTCTGCAAGCAGAGCAGCAAGGTGCTTTCTGTTGTAGGAGTTCCTGTGCAACAGGCATTTGCCATATCTGCAGAGGAAATCAGCAATGTCACCCCACGGGCTCTTTTCCGCCCGTAGGAAAGTGTGGCAAAGACTCGTACTATAAGCAGCAGCATCGTATTGGGAACAGTTCCCAGTACAAAGTTGACTTAAAAGGAGCTAAGGCACTGCCTTGGTTCAGCTTTGATAATGCCAATACAAATCATCACCCAGGTCCAGCTGGTCTCGGATCATGCCCTTCCTACAGGGCAAAGGTGAGCAAATGCATGGCAGGGATCAGGCAGGTGGTTTAACTCTACTGTTTTTAAATGAACAGCATTTTTGTTAGCATTTACTTCCACATTTACTTCTGCTTAAATATAACTATGTATTTTATGGGCTTAGCATATGATACCCTTTTTGCTGGTGAAATACAGGGTGGAACATGGCCCTCCTGGCACGAATCAGTTTGATGCTCAGAATGAAAGCTGTAACGGGTTGAGAGTGATGGGGATGTTTTATGTTCTGAAGATGCTCGAGTGGGCTGTGCCGTCAAAAGGATACAGAGTGGAAGCCACATCCTGCCGGCTTGGGTAATCCATAAAAGAGCTTTCAGTGTTTTCCCTCGCAGTAACAGCTTTAAATTTTAATAAGCTGTAGTGTACTTTCACCGGATGTCATAAGCTGGTACAAAGTTTAAATGGGGTTAAGTAAGTAGGAGCCTAGGAGAAAGGAACATAAAAGATGTAAATTATTTCCTCTCTTTCACAAGTTTGTTTCACCAGGTTTATTTGGGAGGGGGGGATAATATATAATTTAAATGATTTTTTTCTTCTCTGGATGATTCAGAGGTCATGGGACAGAGACAACCCTTGAAGCAATGAAATCAAGTTGCTATTTCAGGTTACTTTGTCATTTACCAACGATATTTACCAAGTCACAGACTTGTGTGCCTGAACGTGATCCGCACAAGCCTGCAACGCAAGGGTCTGTAGGCAGACTCTTTGAAAGGTCACGCAGCCCACCCCTACCCCCAGGCAGGATCGGCTCTGTGTAAGTCTGTCCAGATAGACCATTGTTCAACCTGTTCTTGGAGCCCCAGCGGTGGAGAACAGCAGCGCCGTCACTCAAGAAGCTTCCCCCATCTACAGCAGATGTGCCTGCCTTCACTTCAAGCCCATTACCCCCCATGTTACCGTGGGTGAAAGAGGAGGTCTTGGTTTATCTTCTTCCTCTTTGCAGCTCTGGGTGGCACATTTGCTGTCACCGCAGCCTCCCCCAGCCCAGCGGCTCCAGCTGCTTCCTCTTTCCCCTCAACTGCCTTCTAAATGGGCTGCAGGAGACCCAGTACCATCTAGAAATACCATCTAGGGTGGTACCCAAAGCCTACATCTACCTTCTGCTTGTTTTCTCTTTGCAAAGGTGGGATAAAGAGGGGTTTGAGGCACGGGATGTGCAGTGCCATGCTTGGAGCTGGATAATCCTAGAGAGTTTGTTTGCATCATGATGCACTGCTCTCACTGCCTGTGCCTTTCAAACAAACAGGGGCTGTGGAGTGGGGTTTTTTCCTGCTACTGGCAGTGCTATAGAAAACAGAGGTGTAATGGGATTTACTGTGTTTATTTTGTTTGCTTCTGTGTATCCACTGAAATGGCTCCAAAACGTTCTCAGCTAAAAGCATCAGCTACTCCATTTTGAGCTTAAAAAGTCATTTCTGTACCCAGGAGATGTACTTGTTCTCAGTGGAGTGGGCATAGTAACACGCACTGTGCAGTGGATTATATCTATGTGATTATACCCTCCAGGCAACGACCTGGTGCTTAAGAAATGAATCACTCACAAAGACCAAGGCTGAGGGAATCGGGTTCAGCGATTATAAGATTTGCTTCCAAAAGATCTGGACCAAAGTAATCAGTGTTCCCCCAAGATATGCTTGTGCTAATAGGCAGTTTGGTGGTTTATGTAAGAATACTTTATGTCATTTGATGGCTTCCAACAGTGTAAAGAAGCAGTAACCACACACAAGGACTAGGATTCACAGCGTGAGAGGCTGGATGGGCTCTGATGGGCAGGAATAGCCAGGAGATGCAAGTGAAAACCTGCCCTGGCTAATGATGGCTGTGCTAGTGGGGGGAGATCTGCCAGTGCAGAACTGGAGCAGGTTCCTGGGAAATACATCCAGGAAAAGGGAAGAGACAGGACGAGAAGGCAAGAAATGCGTGCGGGGAAACAGTGGCAGGAAGAGGAAAGAACAAATGAGAACTGGCAAGTTGATAAAAGAACAAAAGGGCTTTGTCTCACATTAAAGGCAGCCAGCTACACAAATCATTTTCCCATGTAAGCAATTACTGCTGCTACCCCAGGGATGGTACGTGGTTGCAAATGGGAAGATGGGTTCTTTGCATTCATAACTGGGTCTGCAAGTGCTCCATCAATATGGCTCATGATGCTCTGAGCCACGTCAGGCGAGTGGAGAAATTGAAACTTGATTGTGCAGATAGCTGTAATCCCTGTTTTCCAAACTGACTGTCCATCTGTATGGGAATAAGTCATCAGTTGGTGGAACAGAAAGAACAGTGGCTTCTAAAAGGAGACAGGAGGATCAGTTTATTCCTCTTTCACTCCTGACAGCAGCTGTTGACAGCAGCTTGCAGCAGTCAGTGGAGTCACATAGGTATGAGTCAGGTAAGAATCAGACGTAAGCCTGAGATTCCCTTTCAGCCTGACTTTCAGAAGTGCTGAGCGCAAGCAGCTCCTATTCAAACCAAGGCACCGTTTAGCTTAATTCTGGTTTACAGCAGCAGAGCTGGGAATATAAACCACGTCTGAGAGGCACCTGGGCCACAATAAATACGAATTTGTTTGGTTCTCCGTAATTGTATAGGCTGTGGCATGCATTTTTCCTAATTCTTTGGGAATGGTCACTTACAATTATGGATTTGTTACAGAATGTAGAGTTAAAATGAAAACTGCATGAAGTCTCTTTTTATTGTAAATGCCCAAGCAGTTACTGATCTATTTATTAGCTTTCTGGGGCAAGAAGAAAGATTCCATCTTCAGATCATATCTATGGGGCCATAAAGTGAGGGGGGTGGTTGCCATGACACAGAGTCTGTATGAGAGTGCTTTACACCCTCTAGAATCAGCTTTTGGCAATGGGGTTTTCTGCTGAGACTGAGAGAATTCTGATGTTCATGATCTGGTCTGGTCTTTAGACTTTGTCTCAAAAGTGACCAAGTCATGACACAGATGAGGTCTCAGCTTGACAATCCCCTATTGCCACTGCTCAGCTGTCCTTAGCCCAGGGTATAAATTTACCTGTCTTCCAGCTCTACATTTACCGGCACAAACTTATCTCACTGCTTGTGCTGTAAGCCTTTCGACATCAGCCACTCCAAAATTAGAAACTGATGTTATGGAAAACTTAATAACATTAAAGAAATGCCAGCCCATCTTCTCTGCTGTCTTGGGCTGTGCTTTGTTCCTCTGAGGCATTCCTTGCATTTCATAACCGACCGGAGGATGGGAGCTCAGGACTGTGCCCCAGCAGGGATATATGGTACAGCTCCAGCCCCAGACTAGGATCCCACAGCATTTATGGATCTCCCACATCTGCCTTCCCCTCAGCCCCCTTTCCAGCAATAAGATTGCTCACTGGCTTTCTCTCACCTTTGGTCTTGGGGTTAACTCTTTGGGGAGACAAGCACACTTGTAGCCCCCAGCACAGGGCATCCCTTGTCTCAGCTCAGACAAACTGAGCCCTAGAAACTCAGCTGATCCTGACTCTTTTCCTCCCCAGGAAACACATTTCCCATTCATTTAGTCACCTAAGCCCCTTTCAAAAGCTGCTTTTGAGTTGTATTCTCTCCAAAAGGCAGCATCTTGCCCTAGAGCCATGCCCGCTGGCTGCTCCCCCATGGATGCTGTGCCCTGGGAGCTTTTACCTGGGGTGGGGGTTCAGTTGTAACCCCAGGAGCTGGAACCTCTCCTCCCCAGCTGCAGTGAGGGTTTCCCTTCATAGCACTGTGAACAGGCAGAAACAAAGAGCTCAGAGGAGGTGGGGAGGGGAGAAGGGAAGAATGATCTGGGTGAGGGGAAATACAGCCTGGAAGAAAAGGAAAGGACCAGTTGATCTGAAAGCCCCGATAAAAGCCCAAGACAAAGGACGAAAGAGCCTGGGAGATTATCAAGGGGAAGCGGGAGGAGGAGCAGAAAGATGCAGCAGACCCGAAGTGGGAATGATGTAAAGTGCTGCAGGGAGGAGGGGAGTTTCCTACCTAGAGCAGAGGGTGGTTTAAGTTACTCAACCACCTCTGCTTACAGGAATCGAGCCCCTTTCTCCCTTCTGTCTGGAAGCACCTGACAAAAGAAGGAGCTGCTCCAGCAGGGAAAAAGTATCCCTGTCCATCCCACAGCCCTGACAGCATCAGCCCCGATTGCTCATCTATTTCCAAGTACAACCGAGTCATTTCGCTGGTGGGCAGAGAAGTCAGGGACACTCTGCGTGTCCAGCACCCTGCAGGGAGGAAGCATTAGTACTGCTGTTGTTAGCCTCGTTATTTTCTTCTAATAAAAAGGTGGCCATGACTCACTCCATTAAGAAACAAAAGCAGAGCTGTAATCTACTGAAAGGCAGTTGTTTGGATGCTCGGCATTAGGTGTGTTAAAAGCAGGAAGGTCAGCTGCAGGTCAGGTCTGGTCATGTTCACCCTGCCCAGGACAGGCCAAACTTCAGGTATTCCCCATAGAGGTTGTTTGTTGGGGTGGTGTGATCTGCTCCCTTCACTTCATCCAGGAGTGTGTGTGTGTTGGGGGGGGTGGGTGTTGAAGCTCTCTTTCCCACCCCTCCACATTTCACTCGGGTTTCCTGAGAGGAAATGATGCTCTCGTGTGACTCCACTGGCCCCCCGCTTCCTCCCAGGACGGAGGAGCACGCTAGCCCCTCTCCCCCTCCCTGTGCCGCACTGGGACCAGTTCTCCAGCTGGGCTGTTACTGGGGGGGGCGAACCCCCAGGGAGCCAGGCTGCTTCTCAGGGAGGAAGAAGCCGCTCCTGAGGCTGGGAGGCAGGAAAGGCAGGTTGTGTTCAGGAGGTTTCCTGTGGTGGGATCAGTCACTGTGCCCCTGCCAGTGCCAGATTGCCCCCCTGGTGAAAAATGTAGGGGAGGAATCAGCCCTCCCATGGGATGATGTGAAGGTTTTCAGCACTGCTGTGGCCATGGCTTCTCCTGGTGGGTACCTGGCTCTGACAGGGACCACACTGGCACATGGGGACACCCAACCCAGCCATGCAGCTCTGGCCATGTCCATGACGGCTGCAGGAGCAGGGAAGGAGCTGCTTTGCATGACGGCAGCGGCCAGGTGAAGCACCCACGCTAAGGCGCTCCGTGAACATCTGCCCCTACCCACAAGCTGCTTCTATTTTTGTTCCACCTCATACCCTGAGTGACTCAGAGGAGGGGAAAAGGGGGGTCAGGTTAGAAGGAGCCAGCCGGGGGCTGCGTGGAGGTTTGAAAGAGGAAGAGGAGGAGAAGGTGCTTCGAAACCAGTAGTTGCTATTCTTTTAATCAGCCCGAACCTTTTCCTCCGCACTCAGCCTCTTTCATGCTTCTCTGTTTCAGCTGCAGGCAATCTGAGGCAGCGATGGCACTTCCTGCCTCCTGTTGAGGTGAGCATACTTTCAGGGCACCATCAGAATAAATGACGCCTTGCTCTTAGACAGCTCCGCTGTAATCTCTGGGGCCGCAGTGAGCTGGAGCTCATCCTTTTGCCCGACTTCTTCCAGGAATTTCCAGTTCTCTTTTTGGTCGCTTTGTAAGACTTATCTACAAGGAAAAGGCAAGTGCCCAATTTCCTAATTCCTGTGTGTCTTAGTGTCGTGGCTTCTGGACACAGGCACAGGCAGAGGTCTCTCATGTATATCCTGCCGGTCCATGAGGCAGTCTCGCAGCCTCAAAGCCCACCACAAGGAAAGGGACAGCCATGCAAGCAATTTTCCCATTGCGGGTGTCCCCCATCCCTGATCCGCTCTCCAAGCGCTCATTCATTCTGCAGAAATGCCACATCTTGCTTTGTCCCAAGCTGCTGCTCCTCGTTTCCTCCTTTGCTGCCAGATAACCACATCCCCGAGGATATTCCCCTGGGCAATCCAGGCTTATTGCTGTGATCAGGCTTTGCTGGGGGTGAGAACATGCACAGAGAAGGAGGAACAAGGGGAACTGAACCCCCTCTTTGCAACCTGGTGTGAGAGCCCTGCTCCAGCACTGCCACTCCTCCTTCCCCCCTTCCTCCTGTCCCTCCCTCCCTCCCTCCGCTCCCGGGGCAGGGGTGATGCCGGGATGAGCCTGGGGCCGATGACTGGAGGATTTTTGCGGCGTTTTTCAGCTTCCTCTGCCTCCAGCCTGACTAACGCTGCCTGCGCGCCCGCGGCCCCCGCCGCGCACCGGTGGAGGGAGGGGATCCCCGCCAGGGGGCGGTGCAGCCGGGCGGCGCGGGGCGGGGGATGCCCATATTTGGCAACCGGGCGCGTCACTCCCCTTATATGGGCAGTGTCCTGAAGGCCCGGCCTCCCATTCATATAAATGCCCGGTGGCGGCGGCCGGGATTCCCTGCCCGGGCTCGGCGCGGAGCCGCGGTCCCTCAGTCCCTCCCGTCCTACCGCCGCGCTCCCGCGCTAGCACCGGGGCTCACCAGCCGCTCTCCCTGCTCCTGCCCCGCGGCCGGCATGAAAGTCACGTCCCTTGACTGCCGGCAGCTGAGGAAGCTCCTGCGGAAGGAGCCCTCCCGCTGCCTGGTGCTGGACTGCCGGCCCTACCTGTCTTACTCGGCCTCCTGCCTCCGCGGCTCGCTCAACGTCAACCTCAACTCCGTGGTGATGCGGAGAGCCCGCGGCGGGGCCGTGCCGCTCCACTTTGTGGTGCCCGACGAAACAGCCCGGTCCCGGCTGCTGCTGGGCGGTGAAGGGGCGGCGGGGACGGCTCGGCTGGCGGCCGTGGTGGTGCTGGACCAGGGCACGGGGCACTGGCAGAAGCTGAAAAAGGACAGCACGGCACAGATCGTCCTCAACGCCCTGCTCTCCAGCCTGCCCGAGGCTGGGGCCAGGGTCTGCTTCCTGAAAGGTGAGAGGGGCAGCGGGGAGCGGGAGGGTAGGAGTTTAGGAGGGCGGTGTGGATCGATCCCCAGAGCCCCTCCGGCTGGCGGCGGCCCCGCAGTGGTCCCGTTCTTCTCCGCCACTACCCCCCCACGATTAACGTGGTTGGTGTTGGAGGGCAGGGAGGTAACGCCGGGATTTCGTTTCTTTTCCACCCACTGGACGCAAATCCCGGATAGACTCGGCGGGCTGAGCCGACATGCCTTTCCGCTCACCCCCGCCACGCGTTTAATAAGCTGATGGGAAGCAAAGAATATTAGGGAAGAAGAGCAAAAGTTGGGGATTATCAAAGGGAGAAGTGGGCGAGAGGGATCGGGGCTGCGCGGAAAATAAAATCAGCCCCATGGGGAAAAGGAGACCCGAAGCTGCCGGTTCTAGCTCTCCGCCCGGCGGCTCGTATTGGGTGCCTAAACCCCGGGGATCGTTGCCTGCTCCTCCACCGAGAACTCTGTCTTTCCATCGGACATACTGAGGCTGGCAGGGGAAGCCCATAACCAAAACTCCGGGGCTTGTGGGGGGACAGAAATACCTCCTCATGTGTATTACAGCCCTTTGATCGAGGTTCTTTGTTTTCCTTCCGTGTAACCCCGGTACAATAAAGCGATAAAAAGAAATCTCAGTCCGCCCTTCCCCTGTTCTCCCACCCCTGCCTTCCCTCCGGCTCTCCAGGCAGCTCCTTTGTCCCTTTGCCCTCCCTGTTGTTCTTGCCCCTTCCCCGCCCTGTGCTTCTCCCCGCAGCAGGGCAATGCTCTGATCCCGCCACTGTCACCGCACACCAGGGGCTGCGGGGTTCCTAAATGACCCCACTGCCATATCCCGAGGCCACAAATGGAGGGGAAAAACAGGCGATGTTTCTTGAATTAACTTTGCTCCTGTGTCCTCACTGGCCCGGGTTAATTCACCTCTATTGAGCATTTCATCATGCCAGTTCTTGCCCTGATGTGCTCAGTTTGGTCTCCTACAACTAGCACTGCCCCCAGTACATCCCCGCCGGGAAGAGGCACCTCCATCCTGGTACTGCCAGATGCCATGAGGAGGTACACCCCTGCTTGTCTCTGTCTGGTCTGCCCCACCCTGCCCCTGTCCCCCCCAAAGCACCAGTTGTACTGCTGCAAGGCAGGGATACTTGCACTGTGCTGGGGCAGTCAAACCCTTAGGGACCTCATTAAACCAAAGATGAAAAAACACTTCCAGGGTCACACCTGGAAGTCTGTGGCAAACCAGGGGCTGAATTAAGCTCTACTGACTCCCAGCCTGCTTATTTGGTAGGAGATCATCCTTTCCTTATGGACCATCCACATGCT